TTTGTAATTTTGAATCGTACGCACACACACATATGTGACACACACACACATATATATATGTATATATATATATACATATATATATATATATATAACTCTTGTGTGCGCATACCTAAACACACAGAGCACGCACACAGAGAGACGTGCAGGGCAATGTGCGCACACACGCACACAGCGGCACATAGGTTCTTATCTACATTGCAGAAGCACTAGCTAGTTGAAACATGAACACATGATATATGTATATATATATATATATATATATACGTGCATATATATATATATATATATATGTATATGTCAATATAAATATATATATATATACATATAAATATATATATATATATATATATGCAAACATATATGTGTGCATACATGTGTATATATAGATGTAAATATGTATGTGTATATATATATATGCATAATGTATACATGCATACACACATATATATATATATATGTATACACATGCATACACATATTAGTGTACACACACACACACCTAATGTACACAGCAAGGCCTCGGGAAGCCGCGGCCGCACAGTGCGGACGGAAGGGAGAAGGTGGAAGCCGACAGCCTGCTCGGTGAAGTAAGAGGCTCAGGCCCTCTTAAGGTTTAGGGTTTAGGGTTTTAGGGTTCAGGGTTTTAAGGTTTAGGGTTTAGGGTTTTAGGGTTCATAGTTTAAGGGTTCAGGGTTTAAAATAAGGACATGTATCTGTATACTGGGCATACATGTATACAGCAAGTCTACATACGGGTCCGCTAGTATCTTCAGCTGTCTTGGTGATTTGCGAACTGACGATGTATGTTGCTGTTAGGTCGTGCTGCTGTCAGCTTCTCGATGCGATGAGCTGAGCATTCCGTAGCCGAAGTCCTGTGAACATGACTCATGTAGGGGCCGTAGTACTTCAAATCGGGATTTGGGGCGCATTATACTATAACTGTAGCAAGGACCCACCCCCCCCAAATAGAAAAGGTTATTATGATAGGCCCCTATAGTATTTGGCTGGCAGTTAGAGAATAGTTGTTGCCGGAAAAGGATTACCTACACCTCCCAAGCTCAACTCGGGCTGTCAATAATGCTAATCGCGCAACAGCTCATGGAAACCCTCTTTGCCGTCTAAGTCTACGCCACCGGCACTCCCTGACATAGGAGTTGGGGCAGATTATGTAGGGGTTCTTTGCATAACAGATACATAACACCTCAGCTATTTCAGGGCTCAGGGAATCCCATAGGCGCGGGCCCCTTAATAATTGCCTCTACTATTTCGGAGTTATACTATAATATACCCTCGAACCCTGTTTTTTTATTAAGACCCTAAACCCTAAACCCTGAACCCCTAAAGTGTGTAAGGCCCTTGTAATAAATCGCACCTCCTCTGCCGGAGGCATGGCAAGAGCCGTTGAGGCGGACATCACCAGCTTCCAGAAAGCCCCGGGAAAAATGCTACTCTAGGGGCCTTATTAACTGGAGATAGGGTTCCCTTTATTGGGATCTACATTCGGGCTATGGTAAGGGATCTATCGGGGTACTATAACATAGGGGCCTTATTAACTAGAAGAGTGTTTTGGGGCCCATTATACTATAAGTATAACAAGGAACTACTGTCTGTATACTTCATACGGAGAGGACGACAATGAAACATACTTTCCCAACACAAACATGTCACTGTCACGTGAGCCATGCTTGTTTTCATACAGCTACGGCCTTGAGGCACACAGTCCGGGGGGATGATCATCCAGCCCATCCACCGGCACTGTGCAACATGGTAGCACTGAATGCCGAAGCCTGCAACCCCCAAACTCGATTGCATCTATACATGGGATCATGCATGACGTGGGGATTCGGGGTCGGACACAGGGGTGGGCTATGCCGTCTAAGAAAGTTCTAGCAGGCGATGCATGGGGGCTCGTACTGCTGATGGACAAAATCCTGCATTACCCATTATAAGGACTATACCATAGTTCCCATAGGTTAGAGTCCTTAGGGTCATGCAGGTCCATCAACAGTAGGAACACCACCAAGATGTGAAGCCTGAGCCCTGTAAACCTGAAGACCCGGAAGCCTAAGCCCTACTACATCCTCAAAGCCTCGGTCCTGAACCCACAGCCGTAAACATGTCTTCGTGGAGCTACGGACTTACAACTGATTATCAATCTTTCTTTCTTTCTTTCTGCCTTCTTCGCCTTCCTGATTCCTATCTACCTGCAACCCGATAAGTCTATCCGTCTATCTATCTATATAGCTTCCTTAACCAGGGTCCCTTCTGAGGCCCTGATTGCATGTGAGATGTACGCACTTGTGCATCTCAAGAAGGAAACCGCGTAAGAGAACTTTACTGAACTGCTCAGCAATCGACAACTCTATGCCAAAAACCTTGCACCATCTGAGGAGGATCACGAGATCAGGACTGGATCTTGAAGCCGAAGGGGTGGGTATGCCGCCACCTGTGGAGCGTGGGTGGACCGCAGAGACTGTGCACAAGCTCGGCACAAATTTGTTCAATCTTCTTAGTTGCTGATTGCTGGGTTCACAAGCCCACAAAAGCGTACAGTTTCAGTTCTATTGGGCACAAAAAAACCATCCCAAAAAGTGTAAGGTGCGCCCACTCGGCTACTAAGTATATCCTACGATGCTATACCTTTTGGATGGTGCTCTGAAGCAGCGGGCTCCACCTGTGGCTCTTCAGCTTTAGAGAATTTAAGGTTTAGGGTTTAGGGGTTCGGGTTGGGGTTGAGGGTTTTAGGGGCTTGGCGCTTTAGGGGTCTAGGGGTTAGGGTTTAGGGGTTTAGAGGTTTAGGTGTGAGGGTTTAGGGGTTAAGAGGTTCAGGGGTTAGCATTTAGGGGTTTAGAGGTTTAGGTGTTAGGGTTTAGGGGTGGTGGTGTTTGATTAGTACTGAAGAAGACTTTCAAGGATGCATGCGCTTCGAAAGTACATGCCCAAAGCCCAACAGTCAGACCGTCCCGGCCGGGAAAAAGAGCAAACGAAGCCCAACTGCCTCTTGTCCAACAATCGAAACAATCTGCACTGCAGCACGGAAACCCTAGAATGGGATTTGCTGTTCAGTGTTTCACGCTTTGGCTGCACTACAACGAGGGTCGTTAACTCGTAAAGGCACGGCCCCTCGACTCGAGCCCGTGTTGCGGCACTGGCCCTAAGTCCCGATGTAAGCTAGCGACCCATCTGAATACATGTGATGACTTCGACTGCCACCACCCGGCCGAACTAAGCACATCAATCGTTCATCACACAAGAAACCTAAGCTGAACACAATACCGATACCGCTAATGCTGTAATAACAAATCAAAACCGTGTCAATAATGCGAATAGACACCCGTAACAGCACTCGACATGCAGTTCCAAACACCTTTCGCAATAAATTGCACTCCGGTAACATTACGTGATCAGATGTCGCATGAACACAGCATGTGTATAAATGTATGCCTTTACAAATATATGTAAGTATATGCACGCACACACACACACACACACACACACACACACACACACACACACACACACATGAGCTTAGGGTGAAGAGTCCCGCACTGCCCACCTGGCGTGGCCCGCGCCGCGTCGGGCGCCGTGCGCGTCTCCGGCGGGACAATGGGCTGCATGGCTGGCAGAATGAGCTTCGGTTTTGGTTTTTAGGGCTGCTCTGTGAGGCTCTTGGGCTTTCAGGGCTTTCGAGCTTTAATTCGGCGAAGCTGACTGAAGTGACACCTGAATTTTGAGCAAATTCATGCGGTGGGGCGGAGGTCTTGCTTTTTGATGCCACGCTCTGCTGCGAAGCATCGGAGCCTTATATCTCGGTGATGATCTGCTTCGTCTAGCTTCTTACGTTATCGATCATCTGAAGACTCTTGTGTGCCGAAGCTTCTTGGAATGGCACCATGTTTCTGCACTGTCACACTGAATAGATCTGGATAATCTGCGGGTCAAGCAAGTTTCGAAAGCCTTGCAGCTCAGACGTTCAGGCAAAGGACTTCCGATGAGTAAATGCTTGCAGTTAGACCTTCAAAGCCAAGACCATGGCATGCCTGATGGAAACTCGGTTCCCGAAATGGGCAAATAATCCAGCACGGTAGCAAGAATGGCAGGACCAATGGTCGATAGTATATACCGATCTAGCCACGACAACAATATGGCGCTCATGATGCCCAACAGCTGTTTAATAATATTTGAGTGCAGTGGATGCCGGACACTTACTAACTGGTCAGTGGCCAAGTTAGTGCAGCCTTTGTCTTGATCCCCTGATCCCGAACTCTCACAAAGGTTGGACATTCGAAAACTGTCTGGGGCATTTACACTGCTGCGACTCCGCTTGATCGTGTGGTGCTACACTCTTATCCATCACTGGCAAATGTGAGGGTTTCCGAAAATGGGGGACCCTGCTATCGTACCCCAAATGGTAGGATCCTTGTTATAAGGGCCCCAAAAAATGTAGCCTTAATTTTCGGAAACTTCCAAATTTCTCGAACCTTGGACATCAATTCCGGCACCGTCCTTTTGAATCAATTCTGCGTGGCTGGGCAAGATCTGAGATCGAAGTCTCTGGGTCTGGGTGCAGAGTGCATCCTGAGGCTTGATAGTTTAAGTATATACGTAACACTTTTTGGGCCCTGTAGTGTCAAGCCTGCATTGAATCAAAGTGAACCGTCTGGAAACCCTCGAGTTTCGACCGAAGACAGCTGTGACATGACAAACTCACATGCTGAGCATGCGCTTAGGCGTCCGGCTAAGACGGCTAAGAGGTCAGTGGTTTACAGCGGGTTTGGGCTTGTGGGTTCAGGCTTCCATGGCTTCGGGTTTGAAGTTTCAAAGCTTCGGGGATTCACGAAACCGCCCGAAAATCCTCGACCCGTCTTGGGCCGTTCAGCGAAGGCCAAGCCTCGAAACGCTTGTTCAGCGGCTTGCCAGCTGCTAGCGCAAATACTGACTGGATTCACTATGCTCTTGAGCATCATCGGCATGACCCACCTCGTCCTTCGTCATCATCATCTGCTCCTGTATGGATACTGTCACTTGCACGGCCATCATATGTTGCAGTCACGATATTCGCTATCGTCATCATCATCATCATCATTATTATTATTATCGTTATCACCACCCTCATCATCATCATCATCGTTATCACCACCGTCATCATTATGATCATCATCACAGTCATCATCACCAAGACCACCACAGCACCATCACCATCGTTATCAATACACCATTCGTCGCAAAGCTGCTGCAAGTTGCCGCTCCGGAATGGAAGGCCTCCACATTACAGGTATGTTACATTGACTGACAATCTTATATTCTGGCCCTGGACCCTGTAAACAGTAAAACGCAACCCTAAACTCCACCAACAAAAAGTCCCGAAACATCTATCCCCCCCGCACACTTCTTTGCGCATTCCCGATGCAGAAGAAGTCCCAAGTATGCTGAGACAGAGACTCGGTTAGCTTGCGCTGAGCGAATGTCATCACCTCATCTGCTTCGCTTGGGAGTGCGGCTGAAGCAGGTCGTGCTTTCTTCGAACTGTTGGGGTACCCTGTTTATTTAAGAGGAAAAGCGAAGTGTACTCGAATTAGGTGTCCTCATAATTATTTAAGGGGCTTCTTTTTTTGTTTGGGTACCACAGCAGGGCTCCTCATTTTCAAAAGTCCGAGGTGCAGCAGTTGAGAAGGGGACTGTGAGACTGCCAGCCACATGCCACAACTGGGATGCCGTGGGTTGGGGCTGGGTGGGGAAGTTCCCCTGCCTATTGTCAATTCTTGTGCGTTTGCAAGCTGGCGCACCTTCTCAGCAGTCTAATGCAGGGGCCTGAATAATTTGTGTAGGGTTTGGGGATATACAGAGACTATAAGGGGACACCGACCCTTCAACTCAAGTCTAAAAGCTCCGGCGACTGGCATGCTGCAGCATGCCAGCAGCCACGTCCTGTGATCTGTTTGACACTATGCCACGAGCCAACTGAAGTATGCAGCGACACTTCAAGGCCCATATGGACCAGACTGGTACTTGCTGAAGTAGATATTGCAGACAACAGTAAACTACACTTGCATTTCTCGAGAGAAGACCTGCAGTGCACTGAATGCAGCAACATGCCAGGCATCCTGCTTCCTTGGGACCGGTTAGATGAATCCCCACACGAAGGTTGGGGTTGAATACATAGGGGAGCCCATAAGTCGAGAGAATACCCCCTCGAGTCCAACGATGTTCCGTTCCTCTCCAACATTACATTAAAACCCTTGCAAAGACCTTCAAAAAAGCCTTACTTCAAAACAGTCTTAAAACGCTTGCACAGCACTATAAACAGTCTTAGTACAGTGCTTTACAGCTCTGCAGCGAAGTCTAAGAGTCTTACGACAGCAGCAGTTCCGTTCCGGAGAAAAACGCTCATGGAGCCCGGGAGGATACCTCGAGTAGAGCGAGCGTGAAGGAAGTGTCCCCGGTCTCCTTAAATTAGAATATGGTTCCTTTAAAGGTGTCGATAAGGGCTACGATAAGGGCTATTATGAGGATTTAGTTTAGGCGCCTCAACAATTAGGATAGGGTTTTTGGGCTCCTCTGGAGGATAATCGATATACTGAGCCCAAGGGCATCATCTAAGCTTCTATATCACAAGAAGGGCCGAAGATGCCACTTCCTGAGATCGGCTTTGGGACGATAGCTTGTCCCGGATGTCGCGAGTCCATCCCCCTAGCAATTAAAGCAAGATCCTGGACCCAAATCTCATCAACAATATCCCTTTACCCGAAATCCCAAACCCTAAACCCGGGCAACATCAAAACTCTGTCCGCTTCCAACATCAAGGACTCTAGGCAATGGCCAAACAAACAACTCGAAACCTGAAGCCCTAAAGCTTGCAACCCTAGAACCCTTACAGTAGAAGACGGAAAGTTGGAACATAAGTATCCTCATGCCCTGAAGATAAAGTAGAAGGGATCCTAGCACCAATCCTCCTAAAGCCAGGTTCCAACTTTCTGGCTTCTACTGTAAACCTAAATACCCTGAACACCCCCAAACAAACTCTAAACCTTCTGTCCGACATCCCTCAACCTGAAGCGTAAATCGCTAAAGCAGAACACCCCAAAATCCCTATAGATTCCCTCCAGATCCCTTTATAGAGCCCGATAAGGAAGCCCTATAGCTTCCTTACAGATCCCCTTATAGAGCCCCAAGAGGAACCTAAATGACTCGAAAACACAAACGTCCGAGGATCTCTCGCTTGCCCGCCTCGGTAGAGTCCCAAGGGCCCTCCCAGGTGTGAGATCCGCTGCCTTGAACTGAGGGCTCTACTTGGAGGCCCAGGGCACTTAGTAAGTCGGTTATAAGTAGGGCTATAACTGTGGTAACTCCATTTAGGGTACTTATAACTCTACTTATCACCTACTTACTAAGTCCCCTGGGCCTCTAAGTAGGGCTTTGAGCTTGGGGTTTTAGTGCTCTGGGGCTCTGGGGCTTAGGGTTTAGCGCTATAGGGCTCCAGGGCTTAGGGTTTAGGGCTCTAGGGCTCTAGGGCTCTGGGGTTCAGGGGCTCCGGGGCTTGAAGGCTCATAGGGTTTTCCGTTCGGGTTTAGGGCTCCAGGGCTTCAAGGCTGATGAGGTCTAGGGCTCTAAAGGTTTATGCCGAGGGTGTAGGGTAAGGGGTTTAGGCTTAGGGCTCTAGGGTTTAGGGTCCAGGGTATCAGGCTTAGGCCTTGAAGGCTGGGGCCATTGGGCTTAAACGGCTCATAGGAAGGGGGTTCTACAAGGGTTATATATCTGTAAGGCTTCTAGAGTGAAAAAATGGTACTGTGAGGGTTCTTTGCAGGCTTCACACGGGTTCTTCCTACTTCTTTTGTAGGGAGCAGCTTTACGGTTTAGGGTCCACAGGTTTCGGAAGAGTTATACTCACGTGTTGTCTTATATAGGGTTCTTGATTAGAGCTACCCGCCAAAAAAACATTCTAAATGTTGCGGCGACTGTTTCCGAGGGATTCGGATCGTCGGGTCTTCAATCTTGAAAGACACCGTACCTCTAGGTCTGAGGTCTTTCGAGGTTGGGGCATCCTCGAGTCTTTTGAGGCTGCTGCTTGGGGTCTGGGGAGGGCTGGGTCGCTTCGAGTCCAGCGTGCTAAAAAACCGTTAAACGCAAATCCAAATACTTACGTAAGCCCCGCACTCTTAAACCCTACTGAAGCCTTTAAAACCCGAAACCCTATACGTAATTAGTTAAGTTTTATGATTTAAACCGTGCAACATCCAAGCCAAAATCCGAAACATGCAAAGACCCTTTGATTTAATCCTTAAGCCATCCTGCTTGTGTACCTTCTGAAGCCGCCGAAACCCTAAACCCGAGAAACCCTAAACCCGATAAACCCGATAAACCCTATAAAACCCTAAAAACCCACCCTACACCCTATAAACCCTAAACCCTGCCCAGGAGAACTTAAAGCTGCCGCCGCGCCACCGAAGCGTCGGCGCCGGGATGCCTTCGATCACCGTGCCGGCCTGAACCTGCTTTGAAGTCTCTTTGGTTTAGGGTTTGGGGTTTAGGATTTAGGGTCATAAGGCTTCTTTTAAAGTGCAATAAGGGTTTGGGGGTTTAGGGTTTTTAGGGTTTAGGGTTTAGGGTCATAAGGGTTTAGGGTTTTGGGTTTGTAGATTTTAGGGTTTACGGTCATAAGGGCTTAGGAGTTTAGGATTTAGGGTGTTCGGGTTTTAAGTTTTAGGGTCATTCTAGCTTAGGGTTCAGGCTGCTTTTAAGTCTCTGTGGTTTCGGGTTTAGGATTTAGGGTTCAAGGTTTGGGGTTCAGGATTTAAGGGTTTAGGGTCGTTTTCGGTTTAGAGTTCAGGGTTTATGTGGGGGAGGGCCCCTACGGCCCCCCACCCAGCCCCAAGGGTCCTTGATGAGTTCAGGGGAACCTTGAAGTGGAACTGCAACAGTAGGGTTTAGGGTTTAGGGTTTAGGGCTGAACAGCCCAACAGAAAAGCACACAAACGATAACAAACACATCCAAGAACACACCCACGTCAAAGACGAGGAAGCACCACGGAGGCAATAGCCAGTAACGAAAGTTACATCCGACTACCGGTCTTCTGAAGCCTCCCATCGTCTTCCTTTGCTTTCCTGGTTCCGTGGGCCTTCGGCCATGTAAAGCGCCCTGGACCCTGAACCTTAAACCCCTAAATCCCTACACCCGAACCTGTAACCTGCCCTAGAATCCCGAACCTGACCTGAAACACGAAACCCTAATACTGAAGTATTTTCTGAGATAGTATGTTATGCTACAGGATAATGCGTCTGACATATTGGGTTGTGTTCTACTTTTCTATTGGTTACATGTGGCCTTATACTAGCATTTCGTATAAGACATTGAAGTCTACCATGGCATATGGGAGTTTCCGAAAATAGGGGACCCCAATTTAGTACCCTAAATAGTAGGATCCTTATTGTAACATATAACCAACCGCACGGCCCCTGGAGCTGAAAAAAACCCTAAACCCTATTGGCCCTGAGCCCGAACCCTAAGCCCTAAACCCAGAACCCTAAACCTCTAGACCCCTAAGCCCTAAACCCCTAAACCCTTATGACCCTATAAACCCTAAAATCTACAAACCCTAAACCCTATGAACCACCGACCTGATTCTTCAAGGTCTCCAAGGGCCAAATCGCCCAAAAGCTCAACATCGACTGGGCCGGAGAGGATGAACGGGGCTTCGGGTCTCGGGAGTGTTTGCACTGGCTCACTGGGTTCAAGGTATTGTGATTGGGACTACTTCCCCAACTCATACTAGTGATTCCTAATGTAGAAACCCTACATTCGGATGTGTATATATATATATATACAGGTACTTTGGACCCTTTGAGTGGGTAGGCCGAGAAGGATGAATGGGGATTGCGGTGCGGCTTTCGTCTTCTTAGTTTTGTCAAATAATATATTCTGGAGATTGAAATCGCGTGCAGCTGTAGCGCAAGATTGCTTTCAGGTCGGTGCATGATACTTGTTTTCTCTGGGTGCGGCAGTACCGTTGGTGCGGTTGTTCTTGCTGTCAATGTTACAGGTTTGTGTTCATGAAAGGGGTGGTTGCCTCTTTGGTGTTCGATTGGCAAAGTAGAAATCCGAATCACGAAGTGCGTCCTCCCACACCGCTTCGGCTGGAATCAGAAAGCCCATCAATCCGAAACTCCTGATTCCTGAACCGTAAAGGAAACGTCCCGGCACATGCGACAGTAGGGCGGATCCTGATCCAGAACACTGAACACGCCAAGTGTAGGGCGACGCTACCCCAGGACAGAAATTGCCAGTGAGGACGTTTCAAAGCTTCGCCTGGCACGCACAGATCTTCAGGCATTGGCTTGGCTTGCGGGTTTAGGGTTGATGACCCGCAGGATGGAATCGCCGCCATGGAATCGCCGTAAACCTCCGTAAACTAATCAGAACAAGACGGCGAGAAGCACGGCTCTCGACAGAATGGAGACACGGGGTGATTGTAAAGTTTAGGGGTTTAAGGCTCATATCGTATTCTGGTTTTCTTGGTCACGTTCATTTACAAATACCTCTACTATGATTCGTAGTCCGCACAGATTTGGATCGTACTTACCACTTGAGACATTTGATGCAAACGAGAATGGATGAACCATTCGCGGTTATATCTTCCTGCAGACTTATGCCGAGCAAAACTTGTGTGAACTTTCATCGGGAAAGCGGCCCGGCAGCAATCGACAAACCGATGCCGGCGCAGCCGTCACTCCAGCGCCGAACGCTGTCCACCCCACAGAAGATGAGGGTCATCATTCCGACCTCTGATGTTGTGAGAACACCTAGGCTGTTCAGTAACCCACTGGGAAAAAGTAGATACTTTTTTTGGCTTCTTATTCTATAATAGGAACCCAGAAACCTGGACACCATGTGGCGGGCACGATTCGCTTTCCCTGCCTTGCAAGCTGAACACACAGCTGTAGCAACAGCAGCAGCAGCGGCAGCAGCTTCAACAGCAAGAGCAACCGCAAAACCACCAGGAACCGCAACATCAGCATCATCAACAGCAGAACAGCAACAAGAATAGTGAGAGCAGCAGGAGCAACACCAACTTCAACTACATCACCCTATCAAATCAAACGGCAACACCGTCACCCAACCACAGGCCACCACCACCACCACCACCACCACCACCACCACCACCACCACCACCACCACCACCACCACCACCACCACCACCACCACCACCACCACCACCGACACATGAACACCGTCCTCATCAGCTGTTCCAATTATCCGCACCATGAAGCATGACAGTGTTAGTCACCATCATCGTCATCGCCGTCATCCTCATCATCGTCAAAACTGACATCACCATCTTCACCATCAGAATAAACATCATCACAGTCATACGCGCCAACATCAACATCACCAACACCAGCACGACCGCATCATCATCATCATCATCATCACCCCCATCATCATCATCACCATCATCATCATCGTCGTCATTATCATCATCATCATCCTCATCATCATCATCATCATCATCACCATCGCCATTATCATCATCATCCTCATCCTACTCATCATCCGAGGCATTTCATCATCCTTGTCGTCAATGCCTGCAGTCTCTGTTGCCTCCAACGGTAACACAACTGCCCCCTGACACAGGCATCAACATGTTCATGATGAGCATTACAACGGTCAATGCTTTCAGAGGGCTCACTGTTGGAATTGTCGCATCTCTTTCTTTCATCATGAGGACCGTTGTCACATTTGGCCTTCATCTGAACGGAATCGCCAGGATCCCCCCTCCCCGGCGCCATAGCAACCAGAACCAGCATCACATGTGTATATAACATACATATTTATATGTCTTCATTCCTTATGACACACATGTACAAAACGTACTGTCCGCTGCTGTTCATTCACCACTAGCATCAGCTCGAGTGTCTTTAGTTTCGGCCCTTGATCTGATTCCAGATCCATCGACATCGTCATAATCGATATGACTTTCACACGGATGGCATCTTCAGCATGAGCATGACGACATTCCTCTGCGTCTCGGTCGTCACCATCTTCAACATGGTCACTACTCCCCTTATTCAGCTTCCGAGGCAAAACCAAGTCCCAGGCAGTTCGGGGCAGCTGCATAAAGAAGCCCTGGTAGACCTGTACATGCTGCAATCGCTCTGATCGAAAAGGGTCCTCTGAGAACAGCTCTTGCAACTTCTGCGATGCCAGAACTTCTGTCCTACTTAGAGGATCATGAGACTTAGTAGCTAGGGTTATAATTAGGGTAACTATACTTATAACCTCAATTAAAGTACTTATAACCTTACTTACTAAGTCCCATGATCCTCCAAGTAGAGACACCACAGACAATTGAAAAGAGCTGCTGCTTCGGCCTCATTGAAGTGCCAAGTCTGGCCAGTCTGCCGCTTGACCTGCCACATTGTCACCCAGAGAGCCCGATACCCCTTGATTAAGAAATATAGCTTAAATCATCAGGGACGCAAAATATGATTTAAGCTATACTCCTTAATTAAGGGGTGTTGGGCTCTCTGGGCATACACAAACCGAAGCCCCAGTTCTAAGGCCCTAAGCCCCAAACCCTCAAACCCTAAACTCTGAAGTCCTAAACCCTAAACTCTAAAGTCCTAAACCCCTTAAAACTCCAAACTCTAAAGTCCTAAACCCTAAAACTCTGAACTCTAAAGTGCTAAACCGTAAAACTCTAAAGTCCAACTCTAAAGTCCTAAACCCTAAAACTCTAAACTCTAAACTCCTAAACCCTAAAACTCTAAACCCGAAACCCGGCTTCAGACTCAAAAACTCTAGTCTGAGCCCAACGGCCTTGGCGTACTCGATGGGCGACTCGATCACTGCGCGCGCAGAGGAGCCGCAAAAGCCGGCGAAAACCTGGTTCTAGGGTTTAGGGTTTTAGGGTTTAGAGGTTTAGGGCTTTAGGGTTCTAGGGTTTAGGGTTTAGGGTTCTAGGGTTCTAGGGTTTTAGGGTTTAGAGGTTTAGGGTTTTAGGGTTCTAGGGTTTAGGGTTTTAGGGTTTAGAGGTTTAGGGTTTTAGGGTTTAGGGTTTTAGGGTTTAGGGTTTTAGGGTTTAGGGTTTAGGGTTTTAGGGTTTAGGGTTTTAGGGTTTAGGTTTAAATGGCCATTCAGGGCCGAATCTGCTGCTGCTGCTGCTGATATCGGTAATGAGTGGTGAAATGATGACGAGGCTGGGGCGTTCATGATAGTGACAATCATGAACGATGACGATGAAGAGATTTTGGTGGAGAGATTTTGGTGGAGTTCAAGACGATGAAGAAAAGTACGATAATGAACGTCTTCACCACACAACTTGTCACACCATCACCATCATCATCAACATCATCAAATCTGTCGTCATCAGCATAACCATCATCCTCTTCATCTACATCACACTTTGAAAAGCTCCCACTTCATGCTAACACTGCCCTTATCACCACAACCATGGAAGCGTCTGGTCAACCAGAACAGATGCACACAGGCACAGACACATGAGCCTTGAGACATCTTCGCATCTGCTTGGATGCAGACTCTGGGGGCTATGGAAGCGAATCCTCTGTACTGCAGGGTTTGGAGACTGTAGCTGGTGCATGTACAAGAAGTCTCCATAGAACATATACACATCTGTATACACATACTATATCGAGTTTGATATACATACAGATAGGGGCCGAGGAGCTCAAGCCTATGCGACGAGGCCGAAATGCAAGCCAGTCTTTCCTCGCCCCGGAACCGCAAACAAACATCCTGTAACAGAAGGCCACAGGAATCAGAGCATGGCGACTTTAGGGTTTAGGGTTTTAGAGTTTTAGGGTTTAGGGTTTTAGGGTTTTAGGGTTTAGGGTTTAGGGTCTAAGGGTTTAGGGGCAAGGGTTTGGGGCTGTTACCCTGATTACTTGCAATACTCAAGTACTTACCCGGCAGCGCACCCTCAACGAAATCGCCCTCTGCGTAGCTAGGGCCCCGGCTGTTGCAAGTGCGAGGCCACCAGTGCCCGGGATTCGAAACTGCCAGAAAACACAGACAAACAGGGGCCAGGACAAGCCGCACACAAAACACCCCAACACCTGCATTGGCCTTTCTTTCGCTTCGTGTAATCTATAGAAACAAAATATGCACAAGCACGTGTGCATGCAGGTTCTTGCACTCGGACCCATGCCTAAACACAGATGTATACACGTATTCGTATACTGTGTGTCTTTGTATATATATATATATATATATATATATATGTTTAGAGGCGTGTGTAAGTGTACATATGCATATACATACAATAGATAGGTATGCATACAGTATGCAATATACATATGGGGAGTGTATGTGTTCGTGGACATTCTAGATCCTTTATGTAGCTTATTGCGGCAGATCATCTTGCAGCAATGAGAGGCTTTGCAAGTGTTACCATGACAGAAGCACTTCGGACAAGGTTGCAATGACACTCGCGCGATCGGGTGTGCGAGGGTTTAGGAGTAAGCCGGGCGTGCATGGGACTCGCGATCCAAACCTGGTGAAACGGTGAAGGAGCATGCCTTGTTCTAGGGACTCGACTGCTTGTAGGATTGTAACAAGATTACAAGGATTTCTCCAAGTATAGCGCAACCTTGCAAGTGGCTCCGCGACTTGTCGGTATGTGTTTGCTTCTGGCAAGGAATCGGTAGCCTTTTTTCTGACACCTCTGGCCAGCAAACAGCAAAGGAGTCTTCGAAGCTGCAGGGCGTCAGCACAGAGCTGTAACACCAAAGGACGCTGCAGCTACTGTATCCTGCCGCGATAAGTTGACATAAACGGCAACAACTTCGGAGAGCGAACCTGTGAGCAAACAGCAGCAGATCGGCTTTACCAATCTGACACAGTCAGTGCAGCTTAACCATGGGTTGCTCCTCACCCCACAATAAGCACTCTCTCGCGAACTCGTTGCAGTTGGCTTTCTTGATGGGGTTCGCGCTGTAATCTTTCCCGGCCCACTCTTGGAATTTCATCTGCAGGCTGGAGTATGGTGCACTGATCTTGCAACTCCTTTGCAAGAAGCCTCTGGCACGCTGAACTGGGTGCACCGTCAAATTGTGCCCGGTATTCTCCATGTCAGCCCCAAAACTACACTCCAAACACCGCGTGCCTTTCATGAAAGGTCTGAGGAGCCACCTGAGGGTTTGTTTTTGTAAGGGAGGTCCCTTTCGGAGCTCATCATATTAAGGATCTCATTCCTTGCGCAGGGTGCGATATAGGGGCCTTAACACTCATAAGCGGGTTTGGGGCCTGAATTACAGTATGGTTAGAATGCGGAGCCCTACGGAATATTACTGGTAACTATTCGTTCGAGCTGCTATATAAAGGGCTCTTGGTTTTCATGAAACTTCCACCTGAAAATCTTTCTACGAGGTGCCCTGATCCACTGCTGCGCCGTCCATGGGAACAACTGTCGGATCGCACTCCGGAAGAGGAGGAAGGCTTCGAAGGAAAGGAGAACGTAGATGGTAGAATGGTACCTGTAGTCTGCATCGTATTTCCCGTCTGGGGTTACCTTCTAGGATCCTACATACAAAACTGGTTAAAACTCAAACATGGATGTACAATGATGACAAGAGCTACATGTCCCGGGAGGCAGGAAGATCCTTCCGCCTGGCAAAGAGCTTCCGCGCACTGAGTCCATGGCAAGCTTTGGCCAGCCAGGGAATCGGGATCTCATCTTCCAGAGGCTCCTGGGCTTTGAAGTAACCAGGCCAGGGGGAAAAAAGCATAGACGTTTACTTCAGAATTGGGTCCCTTTTTTAAGTACCAGGTCCCCAAAAAGTGTTAAGGTATGGTGCTCCAAATCCCAGGTTCAGTCCGCCATTCAAGGCCGACCACATCGGCACCGGGAAATCGACCGTACACCGGGCAACGGAGCTTCGAGCTCGCCCTTCGCATGGTTGCCGGGCTGCGCGTGGAGCGGCAGCCGTGTGACAAGGGAGAAGCAAACCTAGGTGGGGCTTTTGAAGCCTTTGAAAATGTTAGTTAATAAGATCCTCTTAAGCCCAATAAGGGAAAAAATAAAACGTCCCAAAGCCCTACCTAGAAACAGCTGCACCTCTTGTCGAGGGGAAAGAAGCGGCGCAGCAGCGAATGCCAGCAGTGGAATGGCGGCTGCGAATGTTTTGGCTTTCTGAAGCTTTGTGTGGTAATGCCATGGCAGCGGATCCATCAGCTTTGGATGCGAAAACCTTGCGTAGCTGATCATGGTGTTTCATGTGCCGAACTTTCAGACCCTGATTTCCAGTCTTCCAGTCAACAGGGGGTGCAGTGTACAGTGTACCTAGAGTCTAGAGTTCCACTGGCGGGATACTGGAAACCATGCCAGACGGTCTGAGACATCGCCATCACCATGAGCTGAGAATATCGTCTAGTCTAGTACAGCACACCATACCAGAGCCCAAACGTTGAAATAAAGCGTCAAGCCCAAGTCAGTAACTACAGCCGCCCCAAAGCTCTGCATAAGTCAGAAAACCGCCGTCATGCAGTACTTCAGTGGGTTATATATAAGTCAGCTCAATAATTACTCGGCTAAGCATCCGGGCAGTTTTCATCCCAACTAAAACCTACTTCCTAAGTCCCCCTCGTCCCGTACGTACATAGTGATACATGCATGTTTTCCAAGCCCTGAATCTCTTGAGCTTTTGTACCTAGACCTATAAGAGTAACCTAGGACTGAAAAGGGTGCCCAAAACCTTGAACCCTAAAAAGGGAATAAGGTTTACTGTGGGTCCTAGGTAATGCCTGAAAGCATCCAGAAGGCCCCTCTTCCCCTCGAAGGCCTCATCCCAGCCCAGCTCCTTCTCGCGTGTGTACACGGCCTGCGGAAGATAGCCCTAAACCCTAAACCCTAAACCCCTAAACCCCTAAACCCTAATTCTTGAGAGATCCTGCAACTCTCTTTGACGAAGCTCGTGCTAGTGAAGGCATGTCATCATGGTGATGGCGCGATGGCGATAACTGTGACTGCAACGACCGTGCGCAGGGATCGTTCCAATATATGTCAGCATCGTCACGAACATCTCGCAACGATAGCACGAGTACCACGGATAATGGAACTCACACAGAAAATGGTAATAAAGACAGACAGAGGAACAATAATCATGTTACTAAGAATACTACTGCTGCTAAAGATGCAGGGAAAGGATGGTTACAATTTAGTGATCATCATAACCGTGAAAATCGCAGTAACTACAGTACTAATCAGAACATCACCAATTATAGTCATAATCGTCGTCGTCACAATCATCATCATGATCATTGCCCTCAGCTTCATCCTTCCTCGTCTCTACCTATTTAGCAGCAGTAGTCTGAGATGTGTATATATATATATAGCACGCATGTTGAGCGAGCGAGCAGAAGGCGGGACTTCTGCTGCGCTACCCCGCAGCTCCATCACCGACCGCACAGCTTTTCCGACTCCTCTGCGCTCACGTTCAGATTCGCGCCTCTATGGGCACACTTTCAGGCTGCTGTACAAGCCTCGATCGGGCAAGTCTCGTTTTGAAGGGTCCCCCTTGGGTCTCTTCACCGGACCCCGACTACATCCATGCCAGCATCTTGGAGGAGTGGCTACCTGAGCAGCGCAGACAGCACCTAGACAAGAGTTTCCACTATGCCCAGTCGATGCTTAAAGCAGTCGTGCTAGCTGTCAGGGGCAGGAACAACATTGACGACATCTCTCAATGAGCACCAAGATGCCCAGTTCCTCCGGGGCCAACGACTTCTCAAAGAAGCTCTTGAAGAAGTATTGGCCATACATTGCCGCTGTGAGGGCCATATGCATGGAAAAGAACAGCAGCTCGCGTCGGCATTTTCTCCAGACCTCTCGACAGAACTGTAGCTTCGCCAGGGTCGGGGAACGTGTGAAGATATCTACCCAATCATCCGAATTCCGACTGCTGCTGTTCGGGTTAAAAATCTGCTATGACGATGTCTCAAATGCAAGTGTGTTGCACTTGCCACTTGCTGACCTATACATATATACATATATATATATATACATATATATATATATATATAGATATACACAGACACACATACATACCTATATGTCGTGTACACTACACTGCAGGAACTGTAGAACTCGACTCTGAGAATTTGGATGCGGGGCCCTTTAGGACTCAAGCTTTTGCGATTTCGCGGGAACAGTTCTGTTTGCAACTGTAGCTGCCACATGGCAAGGGCTACCTTAAGCCGGAAGAACCTACCTTTTTAAGGACTTATATAAGGAAATCATAATAGGGAACCCTAAAAGGGTAGGTTATTCCGGCTTAAGGTAGGGCTTGTATCAAGATACCTGGGCTTGGGGATTTGCTGATGTTCTCCCGACGGCGACTTCTTGAGTTGGTTCATCCCCAAAACCCCGAATCCCGGGTTTTGGGGAATCGGGTTCAGGCTGCATAACTTCAGAATATGAGGGGCTTCTTCTGTGGTAGGTTCACCTGAGGATCCCCCAGCCTCCGACACTCCGAGTTGTAGCAACAATATCATGCCAGTGGACAGCTGCCATGTCCCTAGTAGAATGCAAGGACAAGGGCATCCCACCCTGAAAACAGAACTCCACAACCCCACCCTAAGCCGTAACCACCCTAAAACCTGAAACCCTCAGCCCCAAACACTGTCTAGACCCCACAAACCCCCACATCCCGCCTCGATGACCGGAATGCCGTGCCAACGTGTGAGGCGGAAGAGAGCACGAGCTATGCAGCCGACCTCCGGAGGTACGGTTTTGATCTGTAGGGGGTACTATCGGGTTGGTAAATCACAGCCATAAGAACAAGGGTAATAAGAAGAACTATAACGATAACAATAACAACAATGATACTCACAGTGAAATAACACCAATAACAATAATAATGATACTAGCAAACATGACAGCAAAATGGACAATAACATAAAAATAAAACTAACCGTGATATTGATAGCAATATTGCGATTCTTCTTCTTATTCTTTCTCTTACTCCTAGTACTCCTAGTACTCCTACTACTCCGACTACAGCAGGACAAAAGTTCGCCACACGGGCTCTAACTGAACATATGAGCCACTGGAACTCCCTTTCCCCCGTAGACTCCTCACGCAAGATCCCACAGGCTCTCCGTCGAGAACCATATAGTAGTATAATTACATTCTAGGAAATTAACTGCTCCGCCACGCTGGCCATGTAAAACGGACTCGTCCGCTTCTCCGCGGCATATGTTTCACGGTGCACTGAGAAGCTTTCATCATCTTTCATCCGTATGTCGAAACTTTTGTCCCGGTGATGTCTTCTTACTACTACTACTACTGCTACTGCTACTACTACTACTACTACTACGACG